GTACTTCTGGATGATGGGACTCACTTATGTTCTTGTTTTGATCACTGTAATCGTGGAATCGTTTGTCAGCATTTTTTCAAATAATACTATGTTCACGGGCTGCAACATTCCATATTTAGTTAATAAGATCACGATGGTATAATGATAATGAAACCAGTAACAATTTTGCTCATGAACCATTTTTGGTTGCACAAAAATTTGAAATGGAACAACCAGTAACGAGTTGGAGTGGTCTAGTCCCTTATCTTAATGCACTAGTTCAGGTTCAAGATATGCATAATATAAATCGTAAAATAATAGATAAGCGTGTTATATGGAGAAGCATGGGGAAAAGCAAGAGCAGTCTTGATGATAGCTGTTCGAGAAAATAACCACAGTTTTATTGCGATGCTTGATAAGTATATAGATAATTGTAATGAGTTATCATCTAATAGTGACACAGCTTCGAGTAGTGAAAGTGATGATAATCATAATGGAACTGAAAAAGGAAAGTTAAATTTAAGCGAGCTAATGAATCCTCATAAACGTAAGGGTAAAGGTCGACCAAAAAGGACAGGCAGAATACGACGTGCAGACGAACCGTTAAAAAAGACAAAACGTCTATTACATTGTAAGATTTGCGGTGGTGCTGGTCATAATCGGGCAACTTGTTCTCGAAGGCAAGAATAGTTATTCCAATGCTCTTCTATAACTAAAAGCTGTTTATTTTGAGCCTGCTGATAATTATATGTATAAGTAGTACAAAGCAAATTAGAAATCTAATAATGAACTCATAATCAGATTTCATATTTTTCTTGATGTCCAAAATTTGCTATATACCCAATTGTTTCTGTTATTTGTCTAATGATCAGAGTAGTTATTTAAAATACCAAATTGTTTGTATCTCACATTTATACTAATATTTCAAGCAAATCGAATGATTTTATATACTGTGTAAGTATAATTTCTTGGACTTTAGTGTTACCAGCCTGAAAAAAAAAAGCTGTTAGAGTTGGCTTTCGCTAGATTATTATTACCAAAAGTTCTCAAGAATAATATGATGGTTATTTTAGGTAAGTATTGAATTAGGAATAAATTTTTAGATCATCTTGGTGCTAGAACAGTCTCTAAGTTTTATTTCAATTAAAGTTTAGGAAGTTTAGGTTTGAGTTGGGATTTCATACTTAGTATGAACCTCACACTTACGTATAACGAAATATATTTGAATCTACATAATATGATACATGAAAATTACGGGCCTTGCGAATAGTGACAATATTATCATTATCATGGTAGCTAAAGTTACATGACATTCACATAACTTACGAACACAATAATAGCTATAGTTAGGCAAATTCATTTTAGTAAAGCCAATATTATTGTATCTATTATTGTATCCACAAACACATGAATGTATCTATAGCAATTACCAAAATTTGTCTGTATAACTGTATTGATATTTATTATTAAGTTTTTTTAAT